ATCTCGAGCCCCAACCTTGGTGCGAGGCACTGGATGCCTTTGGGGGAAGTTGGCAGGTGAGCTGGTCTTGACGCAGATATGAGCACTGACCTATCCAATTAACTCCTGCTTTTTTATTACCATGAACACCAAAATTGCCTTCAGTCAGCCTGAAATCTGCACTGGTTCAGGCAACGACCTGAGTCACAGCATGGATTTCATCCTCTCTCCCTCCCAGGAACCCCCAAGCAGGGGGTCAAAAGAAGTCACCGACTCCCTCACCTCTCCAATCAATCACCAAGCAGCCCAAGTTCATTTTGGGAAGTTTTCCAACACAATACCTAGTGTTTAAAATACCAGCAACAGACTTCTACCCTCCCCTTGCAGGCTTTTCTAAAGACCCCCTCATCACATAGCCAAGAAAATAATTCTCATATATTCACCAGTCATCTAATTTAATTCCTGTATCTCATGATATTGCCCTAAAAAGAAAGGATATTTTCACTGCCATAAAAAAGGTACATTAAACACAGTCATCAAATACTTTTAAGTTCACAACCTCCAAGCTACGACTGCAGAGAGGAGACAGAGCATAAGGAGCAGATAAAAGCATTTCGTTGTCACCACTGCCACTCTGCAAAGTTGAAGTTGTCAAGAGGCCGATGTATGAGCTGATGAAAATCCAAGGGCTTATGTGGGTACAACATGGTGAGCGGAGAAGGCTAGACTTATTCAAGAGCTTACAGTAATGAGAACAGAGGGCAATTACAGAAATCTGATTTTTAGGACAGATAAACAGCACAGGGCCATACCAAGCACTGATGAAAGTGTAGCCCATGCCTGCTCTTTCCATGGAGTGACAGAGCTGGGTACTGTGTGGGCAAATCAAGTTACTACGAATTCGCCAACACTGTACAAACCCAACTAGAAATAGGAATGCCAGATCTGGCTGAGCAGAGTTTAGAGGCGAGCCACCCAGCCGGGTCTGGGACCCTTCTGTCCTAATCTTAAACTATACATTTATTTTAGAGGAATTAAGCACCACATGGTAATTGAGGAGTGAGCCAAGACAGCAGCTCAGCTCTGCTCTCACTTTCTGCCACTAATCCACCCAGTATCACTAGGCAGGTTTCTCACTGATGAAGCAGGATGAGGACAGCGAGCTTTCTCACCTGACATCTATCAGTACTTACTCGTGTCCCAGCTCACGGCTTATTACCAAAATAGTCCCAGCTACGCACCGGGTAGAGGGGAAACCAGAGCTCCTTCAGTTACACACAAGAGGGAACAGCAAAGTCTCCCATCTCATACATGGTTTGTGTATAGGTTTTGCTATTTCTTAAAAATAGAAATGAAAATCAGTCCTGTGAAAATGGCATCTCAGTGCACAGCTCGAGCTAGCCAGTAGTCAAGTTAAAAATGCTTTCGTTTGTTTATTTCAAGAGAACTACTGGGAGAAAAGAGACTCTCTTCATCCACCCCAAAATAAGTCTCCCACTAGTCAATATATATTTGCAGAGTTAACCCAATTTGCCAGTACTACACTCCATCAAATCTCAAATGCCAGGAAAGCAGCAAGGGACCGCTGCTTTATGCAGAAACACAAATGAATGGAGAACCCCAGCTTACACTCAAGCATGTTTTATTTTCAGTAGCAACTAAAGTGTGGCTCATCTTTAAAACATTTCCAAAAAGAGATCAGGTGCTTTTTTTTTTTTTTTTTTAGAGCACCAGGAAGCAAGGACACCCCCTTCCCTCTCCTCGGTGCTCCCTGCCTGCTGAAAACTGTACAGAGCCAAAAAGCTGTTCCGCATGTGAGACCGCCGCAGCGCTCATCAGCTGGAGACACCTCAGAAGCAGCTGACTTGAGCCCAGCTATCTCCTCCCCAGAAGTGCCACTTCCACCAGGTCCCCCATGTTCCTGAGCACCAGCAGGGAATGCCGAGGATGGGCTCCTGCCACATTCCCCTCCAGCAGGCAGGGCAGCAGGCAGTGCCCGTGAGTGGGGATCACCGTAAGGATGCTCCTCATGTCCTTCCCCATACAGGCAGGCAGCATTAGACACAAACCTGCTTCTCTGTCCTCATCTGCCCACTGCAACGCTCTCCCAGTCTTCTGGGCCTCCCAGAGCCACCGATCCTCCACCTTTGCTGGCACAAATCCATATGGCTGCTCACCATCCTTCGTGCCCACCAGCCAAGACAGCCCCAATGCATCAACCTGAGCTCTGCAGAGCAGCCCTGGGAAACACAGGGGGTTTGGGGATCACTCAGGATAAAAGGAGTCAACCCCACGTGAGCAGACCTGAAGGACCTAGGGACTTCAGCAAACCCAGAGTCTCCTCCCTCCACTTGTAATCACCCACCCCAGGGCTCTGCACAATGCCCAGCACTCACAGGGACACAACGCTAGGAATTTTATTTTGATTCAAGCAAAACAGTCAAACCTAACACACATTCATTCTTTATCTTAATTAAAAGATCTCTAACTGGGACAAAACATCATCAGCCAGGAGAACATTAAAGTATAAAGTAATTCACCAATGTCCTCAGCTCTAATTCCACAGCACAGGGATTCAGCGCCCATTTACAGAGTATCTTATCCCCTCGGACCAGATCAGAAAAGCTTGGAAAAACAAGAGTTTGGTTTGGTTTTTATCTCCCATCAGCTCCCTGACCTAGATCACAGCATTGCCCTGCAAACAGCTGAGTCAGCACAACTGCGAAGCAGCGCAGGAACGAGCCTCCGCAGCCAAATCAGCACTGCTGCTGCGCTGTCCTTACCCTGAAAGTACAGCCTGGGCTCGCTGGAGTTAGGAAGTCAGCACATCCAGAGCCTTAAGACAGGAAGTCTCTGCGTTTGCTATTTTTATGTAAAGACACAAACCAAAATAACCGCGCGTGACTCTGGAGGCAGCATCGCTGACATCCTCCTGCAGCCCCGGGCTGGGCGGGAGCTCAGCAGCCGAATGCCTGCGCTGCTCCATGCCTGCCCTCCCATCATCCACAGCCCGACTTCGGAAAGGTGAAGGTAAAGGCACGCACCGACTCATCCCACATCCAAGATCCTTTTCCAAGCACCTACCCAGCTAAAGCACTCGCTTCCCGCTATGGGATAAGTGATGTTCACAGGACCGACAGCCATCACACCCTGCTCACTACAGCCATGACCTGGTACAACGTCATGCTCCGCCAGGCAAAACACATGTGCCTAGAAAGCTTCCATCTTCTCCTCAGCTGGCTGTATTCTCCATCAGTATTCACATACTCTCCAGAGCTGCAATATTAAGGGACAGAGAGGTCAAAACACTTTATGTAATTAAATCCGTAGATGCTAGTGCCCCGGAACACAGCATACTTAAACAGTTATGGGAAATGGGTAAGTGGCTCACACACTAATCAACTTTTGTATAATTAGCTGTCTCACAAGGTCATACACAAGTCAGACCACATTAGTCCAGGACAGGGGGCTTATTCTCCTGCAAGTCAAACCGTTGGTGCTCTGGCATTCTGCTGCTCTCTACAAAACATTACGTCAAGCACAGACTCTGCCTGTGCAATGCCCCTGGCAGCCAGCATCCCAAATGACCATCCCACTGGTACACAAAAACATTAACACGCTGCCTTCCAAAAATGTCCTTACACTACTTTTATGTTGACTGTGTTTTCGTAAGCCAGCAGCATTAGAAAGTCGTCTCCATCCACAGCCTTGACCGCCACTTAGACAGAGCTGCACCCCGCAGTCACACCACAGCACATTGTGGTTTTGGTGTGCACGCAGCAGCGTTTCCCCTGGGGAAGCAGAGGTTTTTTTCTTGATGCACTGAACCAACCACAACCTTCCTCCCTCAGTGGTGAGTCTGAAAGCTAAGCTTCACAAACACTGTACCTACAGATGCATACTCCCTGCAGTTGATAGCACAGAGTGGCATCTGCAGGTGTCCCAAAGCCTAAACCTGGACCAGGACAGCAAGATGCTACATAAGCACTGAACCAAAGCAACCCCAGGCTGTGCAACAAATACCTTACCACAGCTTTCCCCGGTCTCATCTTCACACACCCCCTTTCTAAAACATTCAGGGCATTTTCTGAAGCTACACTTTCATTTTAAGAGCATTACAAAATCAGGTGTTCGCTACATCTTTTCTCTCATATAAGGCCTGATTTCCAGCATTCAAGATGAGATCTGAGAGTGGTTTTATTTTAAGACAGGAGGTAGCCAGCTTTTTAATACATTCATGGGTTTTGTATTCTGCAACTTGAAGCCATGCTTGTTTGTGCAAGAAAACCAAATGTTAATCCCAGAAGAGTTACGACCATTGAAATTTTTCTAAAATATTCTGTTTGCTAAGCACCTAATCAATCCATTACACAATGGAGCAGTAAAAATGACACTCTGGGGAGGAGTTGCGTAACAGGCACGGGGCTCTGACAGTTTTACGTAATGCAGCTGTCCCAAACATACACTAAAAAAATACCACACCACAGCATAGCGCATGTAGGAGGGAGAAGAAGAAATATGCATGGAGGGAGGCAGCTCAACTAAATGTATGTGTCATTCATCTACCAAACTATCCTAAGCTATGGGTGAATAAGAAAGGCATGGTTCTGGCACTGTGTTGTGAACTGCTGTTCCCTGTAGTGCCACTGACCACTGCATTTAGCGCTGCTTAAAGCATTCCCAGTCCACACAGAACAACACAAAGTCTCCAGGAGAAAGGCACATACATCCTGCCTTCCAGAAGAATCATCGTTAGTCCATTTTTACTGTCTCCCTATAATTTGCAGTCATTACCAGGGGCTTTAAAAACCTGTTCAATGCTGTATAACCAGACGAGATGACACTTGGTGCACACAGTATTGTTTAAAACCCTTTGTGTCTCTGTGAAACCGCCAGCTATTTTTAATTGCGTATGAAACAGTATCTGCCAGGGTTTCTGCACAATTTAGCAAGCACAGAAGAGCTGGTTTACAAGGAGATTTTTTAAAAGTTGCATGTTTGCACGCCAGGACGCACTCTACCTGACTGGTTGTTCCTCATGCGGATGGCTTTCGCTTTGGCCAGCTCCAGGGCCGTGACCCAGCGCTGCCTCTCCACTTCCGAGTTCGCCTTTAAGTGGTACGTCCTTCCCCCATTGGAAAGCACGATGTTACAAGAGTCCTCCGTATCGATATGAGCTGTGGACAGGTTGATGGTCCCGCGACACGTGTGGGCCATTTCTGCCTGCGTCCTGCATGGGAATAGAGGGAAAAGGAAGTGTCAGTCCCCCGCGCACCCAGCCTGTCCCCAAAACGCCACCGATGCACCCTCCCGTGCAGCAGAGACCCACAGAAACATCCCGAGCAGGCAGCAAGCCCATCAAAGCCACCAAGGCTAGACAAGCTCCTCAAACAGAAAAATAAGGACAGGGTTGCAGCATTTGCATCGACCTTGCTCCCTTGTACAAACATCACCCCCAGCACTTAGGCTGCTGGTTTCACATCCTGCTGGGCCGATTGCTTCTGGTCGCCCTAAAAGTAAAATTACCAACTGCACACCATCACTGACCTTTCTCATCTCATTTGCATTGCTGCTTTTCTCCCTTCTCCCTGCTATCCCACCTCCAGCATCTAGTGTTTTGTGACTCTTTATATCCTCTCCCTTCAATCATTGTCTTTCATCTAGGTGTGATAAGATCGTGCATGCAAAGATCTCCATTTGTAAGGCAAATTAAAGCAGCACAATTCCTCTTCAGCTGTTAAAACACCTTTACTACTAGCAAAACTGCTTAGTACTTCACTAGGCTCACCCAGATGAGCAAAAGGCTTTCCTGGGGCTAACTTCTCAAAGCAACAGCCCTCCTTCCACCCCAGCTGGGCAAAAAAAGGGAGAACCCACCCTGCAGCAGCCTTAACCCATGACCATCCCACCACTGACAGCTGCACCCAGGACTTCATGTCCAGGGGCCAAAGGCCCCCAGCCTGTCCCTGCCCCACACCACAGTTCTGCTGGTCCCAGCCAGGGACAACGAACAGCAGGTCACTCCAAAGCAATGACCCATCCAGCATCCATGATAGCTGCTGCTCTCTCTATCACAAAAGTATTTCCGCATCTTCAGACGTTCTTAGCTCTCCGTGGGCTCTTAGCTTTATCAAAGCTGAAATGATCACTTAATTTTTTTCTTTATTAGTTTTCCTCTTTCCCCTCGCCAGCTCTTGCACCCCAGGAGAGCAGCTGGTCCCACGCTGCCTGCTCGCCAAAGCAGCAGCGTCACACTGGCTGAGAGCTGCCTTCTTGCACACAGAGACACTTTGACTTTTCAAAGCATACAAGCTGTGGAAGAGCCACATAGAAACTGACAGCCACTTCTTAAAACATTACTTAATATAGTGTTTTCAGAAGCAACTAAAGTCACTTTAAAAAAAAAAATCGCAAAGAATAGGTTTTTAAAGGCACTTGGGCACAAAGATAAAGGCCAAAGTAGTCCCCAAACTGCCTCTACACCCACTGCTGCATTGCAGATGCCTAAAATAGCTCTACAAGCATTGAGCCAACGCATCCTCAAGATCTCCCACCAGCCCAGCAGACACGTTCAGACCAGCCAGCGCAGGCACAGCTGACAGCCCCACCAACAACTCCATACAAGCCCCACCAACAACTCCATACAAGCCCCACCAACAACTCCATACAAGCCCCACCAACAACTCCATACAAGCCCCACCAACACCAGGGCAAGCACGACAGCCACTGGCTTCCACCGCCCCACTCCCATCCCGGGGACTGCATGTTCTCCAGCCATGGGGTACAGTGGCTGTAACCCCCAGAGTCCGTCCAGCCAGGAAGGGCTGAGCAGTACCTGGAAGCCAGGACCTTTGGACAGGATGAATCCAGAGTGTTTTCCTTGATCCTCATTGCATTTTTCCATCTTTTACCACCCATCATTTACTTTACTCCATCTTTTACTTTATTTTGTCCATCCTCTTTCCCATCCCATTCAGCTCTGCTGCATACCCACCCCTCAATCCCCATTCCTACCCACCCTGACCCCCTTCCCACTGCCCAGTGCCCTCTCCCTCTTACCACACTGCTTATCCCTCCCTGAAAGCGGGACTACAATAAACACACTTGTCATTAGGCCACTTCTGGGTCCACAATGTTCCATACTTCCCCCCCAGCACCCATGAATCACTTACCACCTTGCATTTATGCTGCACAGCAAGGTGGGATCCTTCCCAGCTTGTCCACACTACCAACCTCATTAAAGAACTGATGTAGAACAGACATGATTAACACTAGAAAACTCAGTTCCTTCACGTTTTCCTCCCTTCTACTTCTGGCTATCACTTCCCATGGCACAGTTTCATCTTGCCCAGCATGTTCACCATTTTCACCCATATCAAACGTCCTAGGAGAGTTTTAAAGACCCTAAATCCCCCTAAGTCCAGGTGATCATCCTGGAGGAAAGAGATGGGAGCAGGATGATGCTATCATAGGATATATGAGCCTCATGTACTTTTAAATGCCTGCTGTCCAAGTTATTTCCAGAGTCCTCTCCCCAACATTTTTCCTGACATTAAGACATGCTGGAATCGGGTAGATGTCAGAATCATTGCAAGGATTTTGCTAGCATTTCAGCAAAATACATTACTACACAGTTGCTCACTGAGTTGCAGTAGCAGGAGGAATCGCAGTCATTTGTAGGAATTACCTGCTCCTTTCCTTCCCACCGAGCCTAGCAGCACAGTCCTCAAATCCATCATTCCTCAATTCTCGTGGATGGATGCCTGTTTGAAACGCCCCGGGGTACAGAGGGAACCACCAGGTTCAGTGGCAGGACAGGCTCTTGCCTTATCACACCTCATCAGCCTCGGCATTCTACAGAGCAGTTTGCATCGGCCAGAAGCAGCCGGCGTGAGCTCCATGCGCGAGGATGACCCCCCCGAAACCATTTGCTCAGGGCAGTGAAGTAACTCAGAGCACAAGGTCCAGTGAAGATCTGGTGCTCCTCATGCACCAGAGTGCTTCTTAAAGAAGTTCAACCTTGTTACTTTAAGTATTCTCCAAACAGTACACAAGGAGGGAGAAAAAAAACACTTCTAACTGGTTTTGAAGGCTTCAAGGCTATTTGTTGCATGATAAAGCACCTAACACTGAGAAGACCTCACCCCAGATGCATAAGGCTGCTTCAGGCTCCAGAAGCAGAAAACTACCCTTGCTCACAGCCTTGAATCACCAGTTACACAGCTCTGCTTCAAAAGTCCCATGTCTCTCTCTCCACCACCCTTCCACTATTTTTCTCCCCTCCTTGTTTCTTTATCCTAGGTGTCTTAACCCAGCTATTTGCTCCTAAAAATATGGCACCCCCAGACCCAAAAAGTCATAGTTCATCCTCACGTGGATGTAAGGTGCCTCAGCTGGGCAGATGTCTTTGCTGATCCTCACATAGCAATGCCAAGTCTCTCCTCCCTCTGACCCTGATCCCCCTGTACGCACAGAATCCTCCCCATCTTCATTCAGCTTCACATTTTATCAGGGCATTCCCAGTTACTCCTTTTTTCCACCGCTAACAGCCTCCCTCCATCTCAACAGCAGCCACCCATCACCCTGCTGCACAGCTCTTCTTAACTCTCAGGTCACTAATGACACCTTCATAAATGCACTGAAGTCCAAAAGTGATCACTGGTCACGGCTTTCCCAAAATTTTAAAATCAAGTCACGTCTTTAAAGCCAGAAGCTGAACAAGTCATCAGCTGCTGAGCACTGGAAGCTTACATGATGACACGAAACACCAGCTCGGCAAGTACAAGACCATCCCCACGTGCCAGGAGCATCACCTTTAATTCTTGAAAGGTTCAAGGCGGTTTGCATGTTGCTTCCTTCTCCGTGGCCTTGAGCACAGCGACAGCCCCATCATGTCACACGGGCAGGGGTACGGCATATCTGATTACCAACACAGTCGGCATGTGGCATCCGTAAAAGCCACCACGGGCTCCTAAACCTTCTGGCCCCGCTCCACATGCTGATGCACGGGAGAGCAAGACCTTGGCTCTTGCTCCCCAAGGAACGCATCACCAGGCAAGAGTCTCTAGGTCTCTTGAAGGAGGTCTTACAGGCATAGCCTAGAGTTGTTTTCAGAAAGATTGGAGTTCATTACGGGATAGAGATATGGTCCCTACCGGGGGAGAACAGGCAGCAATCCAGAGAGATACTCACTGCCAATCTTATTGCTGGGGTTGCGTGTTACGCAGAAGGAAGCCATTTTGGCTGAACATGACCTCAAATCCACAAATCCCCGCAGCCCCAGCTACGGTATTCCAAGAACTTCTCTCGTCTGCTCAGCCCTGACACTGTTTTGCAGAACAGATTTAACCTAGGGCCAAATCTGAGCTCGACGTGCACAGAAGCCGAGCAGAAACGAAAGCCTCTTGGTATCTCCTCCTCAGGACTTACGGTCCATGTCTTGCGGCACCAGAGGTTAAGTTCAAACCCAAGGTACAGTGTGGTTATGTTTGCTTGCACAGGGGGTGAATTTGGCTCCAAATGAAATCAAGCACCGGTTTTCATTTCCAAAGTCATCCTCCTTGTGACGCAGCACGTACTGATGTGTTCCCAGGAAGGATTACTTCCCACCTTGAGAGAACGGCTAAAATGATTTTCTCTTCTACACAAAAGGTCTCCAAGGTGACTTCACTAAATCAATTTAAGTCATCTTAAACAGCCTTGCTCTCCCACCCAAGAAAATGGTTTCAGTACAGGTTTTTGTTCTTTAAGCTACCTTCCTCTGCCAATCTGCAAGGGAAATCAATTCCTATCAATCAGCACCCACACACGAGGCAGGCGCCTGACCCAGCCTTGAGCCAACAAGCAAGCAATCTCCTCTGTCTGCATGCTGGAAAAAAATAAGAGGTGCCCTTCAGAAGCACTCGTGGTCAGATGGATCTGCTTATTCACCACTAGCAGCTCAACTATTGCATAACGTGATCGAGGCAGATTTTCTGATTCTCAACTTTTTGCAATAATCTGAGCGCTGCACACATGGGAAAGCACGTGGGCAGGCTGCAAAAAAGCTAAAGGGAGGTTAAACGTGGACATAGGCCACACAGAGGTGGATGCAGCTGAATATCTGGGATTTTTTTGGTGCTCCCTCACAGAGCTAATTGATGGGATTCGCCTTCAGAGACATAAAATTATAGCCGTGCGTGGGAGAGACGGAAGAGGACTGCCTCGCATACAGCCCTTGCCAACACACAC